AAAAAAAATACTGATCGACTCTGAAAATGCCCCAGGTCTTACAATCTATAATATTCAACCTAGACATAATGCTTTCATAAAAATAAGCACTGGAGCTGGAGAGATGGCTCAGTGCTGGCTGCTCTTGCAGAGGACCTAGATTCAATTTCCCAGCACCCACATGGCAGCTAACAACCATCTGTAACTCCAGTTCCAGAGGAATGTGACATCCTTTTCTGACCTCTTCAGGCATTGCACAACACAGGTGCAACTCACACACAAGCAGGCAATACATGCATACACATAAAAATAATAAAAATAAAAATAAATAAACAAACATGTCCCTCTCACTAATATGCAAATTTGCTTCAGTCATTAATGAATGGTTAAAATAACAGCAAAGAATTGATTAAAACTAAGTTTCTTTATGACTTATTATCAGTCAACATTCAAACTGTGTATGAATTTTATACACCTATATGCACAGGGTACAAAAAATTTCTTAGGGGCTGGTGAGATGGCTCAGGTGGCTCAGCAAGTAAAAGCGCTTGCTGCCAAGCTGTTCCCACAAACCCAAATGGTGGAAAGTACCAACTCTCACAAGTTGCCCTCCAATCTCCACCCTGCTGAGGATTTAAAAATTTTAAACCTGGGGGCTGGAGAGATGGCTCAGCAGTTAAGAACACTGGTTGTTCTTGCAGGAGACCCGGGTTCAAATCCCAGCACCCACATGGCAGCTAACAACTGTCCGTAACTCCAGTCCCAGGGGATCTGACGGCCGCTTCTGACCTCTGCAGGCATTGCACGACACAGGTGCACTTACCTACATGCAGGTAATACACACAAACACATAAAATAAAAATAATAAAATTTTTAAAAAAATTTTAAACCAAGACCCAGGAGAAAAAAAAAAAATCTCTACACTATCTGACCTCTCCACTCACTTCCTGCCTAGACTACAGCAGGGGTCTCCTCCCTGCATTTCACCCCCAACCTATGACTGCCAAAGGATCTATTCAAAGAACTCAGGAGCTTGGCAAGGGAGTGTGTGCCTTTACTCACACAACCAGGAGGATCTTTGTGAATCTGAGGCCAGCCTGGTCTACACGGCATGTTCCAGGCCATCTGGGGCTACATAGTAAGACTCTGCCTCAAAACAAACAAAGAAACAAAATAACTTGGGGGGCTGTGGGTGGTGGTTAAAAGGCCCTACCTTTCCCTGGGGAGACGCTATAGTTAGTGGTTGTGGCAAATTCTTCAGTGGTAGGTGCTGATGTACCCACACTTGGTAAATAACCCCTCACTCATGCACATGCAAGCAATCCTCACTAAACTCAAAGCAGCAAAGAAAACAAAAGTCATCAAAGTAGAGACAGGGATCAGTGGAAGTGGGCAAACAGCATACAGGGTAAAAATGGTCTAAATATATTATGCACATGTATGAAATTGTCAAAAACATCAAAAATCAAAAGCATATAGAGATTGATATCAAAAAGACTGGGTGGGTGGCGCATGACTATAAACCCAGCACTTAGGAGATAGATACAGGAGTTTCAGAAGTTCGAGGTCATGTTCAGGTACACAGCAAGTTTGAGGCTAGCCTCAAGGTAGCTACATGCTACCATGTCACAAAAATTAATCAATAAAACATAACGCAGGGTTGGGGTGTGGCTCAGTGGCACAGTTCTTACCTAGCATGCACAAGACCCTGGGTTCCAACCCCACCGCCAAACACACACACACCCCTCAGATCCTGTCCCCCTCATGCTCAGAGCCCTCTAATGAATGCTGCCCCAAAGTAAAACAGCAGCATCTACGGTGGCACAGACCCTGCACCAGCTCCCCCTGCTCCCTGCTGTCACTGGTTTCCTCCATCAGACACATGAGGCAGACACATGAGCACTTCCAGCTTAAGTGCTCTCCCTCTGATACTGACCGTCCTCCTCCCGCCCTATCTACCCTTCCAGCTTTCTTCCAAATGCTTTTTTTTTTTTTTTTCCTTCCAGAGCCGGGGGTGATTACTAAAACATTAGACAAACTAAAACAAAGACTAGAAGAGAGAAAACGCTATTTTAAATCTCAACAAGGATGGTTTGAAGGACTGTTCAATAAATCCCCTTGGTTCACACAGACTTCATATATGTGTATGCTTTTGTTTCTGGTTTTTGAGACAGGCTTCACTATGTAGCCCTGGCTCTCCTGGAACTCACTATGTAGACCAGGTTAGCCTCCCAGCTCTTAGAAAGGAGGAAGCTAACCAGGCCTGGGAGTCCAGAGTCTAACACTAGGCTGTGGCACAAGCGTCCAGTGTGTGCTTGAGTGTGACTGCAGCCGGTTACTGCCTGCCCCAAGGCCTCAGTTTTTTAATTCTGTAAACTGGAAGAGGTCATTCCCCATTTCTGAACCAAGGAGAAAATGGTTGAGATGGTCAGAAGACAGAGTTGCTGTGAAAGCACTCTGGTAACCGACATGCAACACTTCCTTGCTGGTATGTCTTGCTATGTTTGTTTTTTGTCTGGTTGTTATTTTTTCCAGACAGGGTGTCACTCTGTCCAGGCAATCTTGGAACTCACTATGTAAACCAGGATAGCTCTTAACTTGCAGCAATTCTCCTGCCTCTGCCTCCCAAGTTCTGACAATTCAGGCATAAGACACCACGCCCAGCTGTTTCCTGTTGTGTTTTGTTTTTGAGATAGGGTCCCCGGCTGGCATGAAACTAAGATGACCATGCCTGCCTCTGCCTCCCGAGTGCTGGGATCAGAAGCATGCACAGTCATCCTGGGTGTTTCTTGTTTTTTGGTCTTTTTGAGACAGGGTCTCCCTGTAGCCCCAGCTGACCAGGAATTCACTATATAGACCAGGCTGGCCTTGAACTCACAAAGCTCCACCAGTCTCTGCCTACGGAGTGCTGGGATTAAATGCACCACTACACCCAGCTGTTTCTTTTTCTTTTTATTATTATTTTATTTTATGTGTATGAGTGAACTGCCTGCATGTATGTGAGTGCACCTGTGTCGTACAATGCCAGGGAGTTCAGAAAAAGGTGTCGGATTCCCCTGGAACTGGAGTTAAGGACGGTTCATAGCCACCACGTGGGCTGTTATCTCCTTGTGCCCAGGCAAAGGCCTGCACAGTGTGTCTACCGAACGAATGCAAGGGGTATGTGTCAATTCCCATATAACACGGATGATCAACTTTTCTTTTTCTTGTATTACTGTCTTACTTTGTAGCACTGGCTGGCCTTGAAATCACTATGTAGACCACGTTAGTCTCGAACTCACAGAGATCCCCCTGCCTCTGCGGAAAACACGAATATATGTCCATTGGCGTTCAATTCCTTTCGCCCGATCGCAAGACTCCAGATTCCACTACCATCATCATTACGCTCAACGTAGGTCCAAAGTAAAACTAGGGCACAACCCATGTTCTAAGATATACAAGCACCCATACACACACCTCCCAGGGCAGGAGGGAAACTGAGGAACGGGGTGGGGCTTCGAAAGCAAAGTCTCACAAGGATAGCGAGGCAAAGGACCTCAGTCGGATTTCTTCTCAGTCCCGCCTCCAACGTCTCTTAACAGGAAAGCCCCGCCCAAGTGGCTCCCATTCCTGGCCCTATTGGCTCGCAGAGACGTCAGTCTACACAAGCTCTCTTCCTTATTGGCTGACACCCGAACGCACGCCCGTCATCGCTATCGGACGAGACACACGCCCCTCTCCCAGGAAGCCTCCGTATTGGCTGCCGGGTTTTGCCGGTTCGTGCCGGGATTGGTCGGCTTCGGAAGTCGACTTCCCCTTCGGGGAAGCCACTAGAGAGGGGGTCGGGAGAGGAAGGGCTGGAGGGACGTGGGGTTAGACTCACGCTGGGCCGGTGGGAGGCAGATGTAGGTCTTGAAGAACTCGCTGCGGCGGGCGGCCTCCTTGATGCGGTTGGCCAACGGCTTGCTGACCTGCCGGACGCCCAAGTAGAGCAGTTTCGCCATGGGGAACGCGCCCACGACCATCTTGGCGGTCGCAGCGGGCACGCGCAACCTTGCGGACTGGGCGGGGCGCCTCCGAGCTCGTCTCTCCTCCCCTGCCCGTGCGTGGGCCGTGCGTGCCCGCGTACGTGCTCGCGTACGTGTGGACGAGCCTACGTATTGCGTACTTTCGGGGCGGGGAGGTGACTGCTGGGGCGCTCCCTGACGTCGCCGCGTCGACGTCTCGACGTCCGGTCGTTGTCTATGCAAATATGGGGCGGAAGTCAGGCGTCAGTGGGCGGTGCAGTTAAACGGCCGCTCTCGGCAGCGTGGATGGATTCCTAGTCCCGCTTTAGGAGACGTTGTCTAGTCCCGCCTTCAATGACGTCACCGCGTTCTTGCGTGATGTCACGTACTGCCCAAAGGAGGCTTTTCGTTAGTACCAATTAAATGCACTGAGTGAGTACTCAGTAGCTTTCCAACGCGGGTTAGAGCGCTCACTGGGGAGGAAGAGAGACTCACCACCTAGTCACCTACTTGGCCTCTACTCTGAAGTTGGAGTGACTCAACTCCTCCGGAAATCACTCTTTTTTTTTTTAATATTTATAATTTTTTAAAAAATATTTTGTCTGTATGCGTGCATTGCCTGTATGGTAAGTGCACCCATGTCGTGCAATGCCCGGAGGACAGAAGAGGTCGTCGGATGCCCTGGAACTGGAGTTACCGAAGTTGTTATCTGCCATGTGGGGATTCGAACCTGTGTCTTCTACGACAAGAGTCAGTCTTCTTACCCGCTGAGCCATCTCTTCAGCCCCACCATTTTTTTTTTTTTAAACTGACTTTGGATTTTGATTTTTTGAGACAGTCTCTCTGTAGCCCCGTCTGACCTTGAATTCATTATGTAGACCAGGCTGGCCTTGAAACTCACAAGAGATCTTCCTGCCTCTGCGTTCCAAGTGCTGCTGGGGTTAAAGGTGTGCACGACCAAGCTCGGCTGGCTCCTTCTCGGTTTTGTTTGTTTTTTTTTAAAGCAGAGTCATGTAGTCCAAGGTGGCCCCACACTAACAATGTAGAGGCAATCCTCCTGCCTGTACCTCATGAATGCTGGATATTACATGTCTGCGTGCCCAGCTTGGGCATCAGTATTCCTGTGTGTGAAATGGCACTCATGATAGCCTTATAATAGGGTTGTGTTGTGAGGCTTGCCAGAGATGGAACCAAGGTATTGTACATCTTAGGCAGTTGCTCTATGCCTGAGCCACACCCCCAGTCTTCACTAGGGGATTCTAGGCAGATGCTGTATCACTGAGTGACACCCCCAGCCCCTCACTGGGAGATTCTAGGCAGGTGCTCTACCACTAACACTCCCAGCACCTCACTGGGGGATTCTAGGCAAGTGCTCTACCACTGAGCCACACACCCCCAGCCCCTCACTGGGGGATTCTAGGCAGGTGCTCTACCACTGAGTGACACCCCCAACCCCTCACTAGGGGGTTCTAGGCAGGCACTCTACCACTGAGCCACACCCCCAGCTCCTCACTGGGGGATTCTAGGCAGGGGCTCTATCACTGAGCCATGTCCCCCTGCTCTTTATTGGAGAATTCTAGGCCAAGCTTTGTGGCTGAGGTGCATCTGTAGTTGATTCAGGCTCCTGAATGTAAAACTCAGGAAGTGGAGGACTGGAGAGATAGCTCAGCCGTTAAGAGCTCTGAATGCACTTGCAGAAGACCAAGGTTTGATTCCCAGCACCCACACGGTGTCTAACTGTCCTTAACTCCAGTTCTGGGGGAATTTGATACCCTCTTCTGACTTCCGAGGCATTGCAGGAAACAGTTACACTCACATATGTGGAGACCTAAAGGCCCCACCTTGCAGAGGTCTGGGAGTAAGTTAGTTACTGGGGCTCAGCCTGACTTGTTTTAAAAGTCTGAAGGATACTTGCGCACGGGGGGAGGGGGATTTCCAGATGCCTTTATCAGCCTTTATCAGCTCTGTAATACCTGCAATAAATGAATCCCTGCTTGACTAGGCTACCTGTTGCGCCTGAGTGTTCCCGGTACTGGGGGTGGCATGGGCTGGCGAATGGCGTGCTTACTCATCCCCAATCATCACTGCGCAGGGGTTGCTGGTTCGAACCGCCCGGGTGCACTCAAATAGATGCAGGCAATACACCCATACATATAAAATAATAATATTTTTAAAAAAGGAGGCTGAAGAGACAGCTCAGTTATGAGCATTTGCTGCTTTTACAGAGGACCTGCGCTCAGTTCCCAGCATCCATGTTGGGTGGCTCACACCCACCTGTAACTCCAGGTCTGGGAGCTCTTGATGCCTCTTCTGGACGCCATTGGCACCTGCACTGATGTTCACAGACACACAACACATAATTAAAAATAAATCTTTTTGAAAAGCTCAAGAAATGAACCACGTTATAAGTCGAATTTACTGCTGGGAGGCACGTGCTCAGTTTCCAGGCCTGCTTTGGCCCCCTTCTCCCACTGTCCTTATAACCAACCAAGAAACTAGTCCTCCAAACTACGGTTTAGGAAATAAAAATATTTATTGGCCTTACTAACAGAGCATATGATGGTGGTGAGGTGTTATCTACAAAGAATGAGCACCCTCAGCTGTTTTGTTTTTTTTTTTTTCCTATATTTTTGGTGGCTTCCAGACCTTTGGCCACTGGCCTAAGATGGTGAAGCGCCCTCTTCATCTCTCACTTCCCCTGTGTCCATCCTTAGTCCCCCCCCCCACCATGTAGTTAAGGCTGGCTGATTGGGTGGGAAGGGTGAATGTCTCCCTCTGACCCTCCTGTCCTACAGAGTCTTAGGGTCCAACCAGTTTGAAGTAAGCAGGGAAGAAGCTAGAGAAGAAGACATCCATCTGTTGCTGGTCATTCGGAGGCCAAGCCTGTCTAACACGTGAAGTGCTTGGGATGGTACGATTCTCCAAGATGCTTTTACCAGCATCTGTGTATTATTCTGTAATTCTACCCAAAATGCCAACCAATCTATCCTTTTCCTGAGTAACTGACCAAGAGACTGAGTCAGAGAGAGGAGCAGGGGGTAGTGCGAGGCACCTCAGCCTCCACAAGCTGGTGACCCTGCCCCGCATTTCGGCTAATAAAACTGGTTCTCAGGCGGCCCCACTTCCTCCTTTGGAGGGTGAAGGTCCCCAGGGAACTGGCTCAGGAAAGGGTTCTAAGGACACATTCTACATTGTCCTCCCTTACCCAGCAGGGAGCAAAAAATCATATAAACAAAGTCAGGACTGTGTGGAGAGAGATTCCTGGATGGTGGCGTGAGGGTGGGTCATTGGGAGACCGAAGGGACCGGAAGGCGGAGGAACAACAAGGGTGGTGACTAGGAAGAGGGAAGAATTTGTGACACAGCCACGGGACCCTGGGCTCTCTCAGTGTCTTTAGTCACCTTCCCACGCTAAAAGGTACAACAAGAGGGGGCTGGGGATATAGCTCAGTTGGTAAAGTGATTGCCTGCATGTGGAAGACTCTGGTTTTTGTTTTGATTTTTAAATTTATTTTTATTTTATGTGTATGAGTGTTTCACCTGCATGTAAGTGCATCTGTGTCATGCAGTGCCTATAGAGGCAAGAAGAGGGTGTCGGATCCCATGGAACTGGAATTATGGACAGTTCTTAGCTATCCACGTGGGTGCTGGGAACTGAAGTTGGGTCCTCTGCAAAAGCAGCCAGTGCTCTGAACCACTGCACCATGTCTCCAGCCCCAAGACCCTGTGTTTGATGCCCAGTACCAGAAAGAAAATCTGTGGTCAAACAGTCTGTCATCTACTTCACAGATCCCCCTTCCCATTTTACAGACTGCCCAAATGTCCAAGCTCCCAGATGTAATCTGCGTGGAGTCGTGGAGTCGACACTGTGATGTCTAGGGAGGGTCCTGGCCCAGAGCCGTCTTCTGAGCCCTGTGGTAGGAGGCCAGGGCCCAAAAAGCTAGATTGCCAAGGATGCCCAGTAAAGGTTTCAGAAACTTCTACTAAGCTTGTACCTGGTTCTTTCCAGCATGACCCTCTGCTGTTTCTTTAGGTCTTAGAACAGCACCTGACACGTAGGTGCTCAATAAATTTTGTTTTGCTTTCTTTTGTTGAGAAGACAAAGTCTTGCAACGCACTCTGGCCTTGAACTCACGATCCTTGGGTATTGGCCTCCAGAGGGCTGGGATTAGAGTACACCATGTTGGGATGCTCCCCTCTCCTGTATCCCCAAGTCCCGGCATTTCTGTACTCCCTCCACCCTCTACTCCCTCTCACCCTCCTCCACAAAATCATTTTCCTTGCTAAGTGCATTTTACCCCCAGGCCTCTCTTTAAGCCTCCTCTTCCTTTCAGAAGGGTTCCCTGGAACTTCTGGAAACTTCTGGGACAAGGGTGCGTGTGTTAAGGGGATCTTCTCCTCTCACGGGCCTGTTTCTACACCATGGGGAGAGAGAAAGATGGGGGCAGGGGGCACACTGGCCAGGCTGGGCACTTCCTTCTGCCCTCCCTCCCATTGATGGAACCACAGCCATCCGGGTCACCCATGAGGCCACAGAGGGAAAGAGACACCATCAGCTAAGTCAGGCAGCCCCGGCCACCCTGGGGCGTGGGAATAAACAGAGATGGGGAGAGACAGGGAGCCCAGGCTGGCCCCAGCACTGACTTACCGACAGTAAGACCTTTAACTTTTTAGGCCACAGCCTTTTCACTGACCGGGCTGCACTAGGGCCTTGGCTGATTCCCAGAGGAGGCCCTTTCCGCTCAGTCCCCTTGGGCACCCTTTTCCCAGAATGGGCCAGGGGCTCAAGTTTCACAATCCTATGGGCTCCTGGGCTTCTTCCTTCAAAAAAAAATCCTAAAAACTGATCTTGCTGGGTATGGTGCAGGCCTTTAATCCCAGCACTGGGTGACACAGAGACAGATCTCTAGTTTTGAGGACAACCAGGTCTACATAGTGAGTTCCAGGCCAGCTGGGGCTACACATTGAAACCCTATGTCAAAAGTAATAAACAAACAAGTAAATAAATGAAAGGAAAAAAAAAAAAAGATCTGGTTCTGGTGATGAAGGCCTGTAATCCCAAGTACTGGGGATACTGAGGCAAGAGGATCACAAGTTCAAGGCCTGCCCAGACTACAGAGTGAGCTTAGGACCAGCCTGGTCAACTGGTAAAGAATGTCTTAAAATAAGTTTAAGGGGTATGGAGGGATGGGACTGTGGCTTACCATAGAGCACTTCATGCACAAGTTCCAAGATTCAATCTTCAGTACCAAAAAATAATTTCTAGGGGCTGGAAAGATGGCTCAGCAGTTACAAGCACCAGCTGTTCTTGCAAAAGACCTGGATTTGGTTCTCAGCACCCACATGGCAGCTAACAACTGTAGCTCCAGTTCCAGGGGATCTGACATCCTCTTCTGGCCTCCTTGAGCACGATACACATGAGCACAACATACATGAAGGCAAAATACTCATACTCATAAAAAATGAGTAAATAATAATTTGAAAATCCATATAAACAATAAAAAAAATAAAGGGGGAGCTGGGCATTGTGGTGTACCCCCTTAATCCCAGCACTTGAGAGGCAGAGGCAGGTTGATTTCTGTGAGATCGAGGCCTTCCTGATCTACATAGTGAGTTCCAGGCCAGATGGGGTTACATAGTGAAACCCTGTATCTAGGTAAATAACAGATGATAGATGATAGATAGATAGATAGATAGATAGATAGATAGATAGATAGATAGATAGATAGATAAAAAGGGAGAAATGTCTTATGTTCCCAAGCTAATTACAAACTCAGGCTCATAAGAATCCCCTTTCTTGAGCTTCTGAAGAGCTGGAAGCTTATTTTTAATTTGTTAATCCTAAACTCCCAAGGGCCACAGGGTCATCCTCAGCCCCACTCAACACAGGCCTGGTATAAATCTCTGTGGACTAAATGAGAGAATTCATGAGTGTTCTTGTTGTGAGCCTCCTTTCTAAGCCTGCCCTGCTCACTCCTATAGGCAGTGCACCCCAGATTGTCCCTCACCTGGATTCAAACATTCTCCATTCTCTTCTGTCTCTATGCAGGACTCAGAGGATGCTATCAATGTAAAATCTCAAAATTGCTCTGTTTGCTGGATGTGGCGGTGCCCACCTGTAATCCCAGCACATGGGAAGCTGAGGAAGGAGGATGGTAAGCTAGAGGCCAGCCTGAGATACAGAGCAAGACCATATGTCCAAATACAAAAGGGAAGCAAAAGGAATGGTTCTGCCTGTCATTTTCCCCAGCTTGATGAGAGGTGATCCAAGGAGCTTGATGAGAGGTGACCCAAGGATAAACACTGACTCCCCAATCACTGACTCTCCTGCCAACTCCCCCACTTGACTCACTTTTTTTTTTGTCTTTTTGAGACAGGGTCTCCCTGTAGCCGGAGCTGGCCTGGGACTCACTATATAGGCCAGGCTGGCCTCGAGATCCACCTCTCACAGAGATCCACCTGTCTCTGCTACCCAAGTTCTGGGATAACGGCATGTGCCACTACACCCAGCCACATTTCTATTTCTTTACTGGAAACGGTCCTCTTTATTTATGAATTTTTCTGGGTTTTTGTGCTACTGGGGATTGAACCTAGGGTCACAAGCTTTCATGTACTCTACCTCTGAGTCATCACCCCCAGCCCACATTGGTGGATTCTAGGCAGGTGCTCTGCCACTGAGCCATGCCCCAGCCCCTCACTGGGGGATTCTAGGTAAGCAATTTCCTGCTAAATTGCATCCCCTGGCTTTCTTTCTTTTTTTTTTTTTTTTAATGTGTATGAGTGTATTGCCTGCATGTATGTGAGTGCACCTGTGTCGTACAATGCCACGGAGGTTAGAACAGGGCTTCGAATTCCCCTGGAACTAGAGTTAAGGACAGTTCGTAGCCACCATGTGGGTGCTAGGAATCAAACCCAGGTCCTCTGCAAGAGCAGTCAGTGCTCTTAACTGCTGAGCCATCTCTCCAGCCCCTCTAATTTTTATTTTGAGATAGTGTCTCACTCTGTGGTCTAAGCAGGTCTTGAACTTCTAATCCTCCTGCCTGAGCCTCCCAAGTGGCTGGGATTACAGACTGGTGCTGCCACAGCAGGCTCTTTCTTCTGTCTTTCTGTTAGAAACCAAATATGAGATTTAATTTTCTTGTTCCCTTGTCCAGGAAGCTCTCCAGGACTGAGTCCTCCTGTAGTAGCCCAAAAGGACAGTGTCCCTGCTGTGTGGTCATTCACCCAACAGGCCCACCTACTTCAAGTGAATCCTTATGGATCAAAGTGAGGAAGATGGCTGGCAAAAATACACACACCTTATTCTTTTTTTCTTGTATTCATATGAATAGTCACATGACCTTATTTACATATAATTTGCATACACAGAGCAAGGGGCCACAGGACTTGGGGATGGGGCTGTGCACTAGTGGAGCTCACTGGGCTGGTGGCAGTAGCACCTTCAGTGGCACCTGGTCCCCCTGGGTGACCTTGCCAGCGCTACTCCTTTTGGAGGTCAAAGGGGTCTCCAGGGTGAGGGAGGCGTTGGCCATTTCCTGGGGCTTTTCGCTGGCCAGGAAGCGGAGCAGGTTGTGCAGAGCCTTGGCCACATCGCTGCGGGCACCCTCGTTGACCAGACAGTAGAGGATGGGGTCAGCCACGCAGTTGAGGCTGGTGAAGGCCAGGGAGCTGTGGTAGGCGGAGAAGACACGCTCCTCAAAGCCGCAGTCCCAGGGCCGGCCCAGATAGACAGCGCTGCGGGACAGCAGGAGCACGTGGTAGGGCGCGAAGCACACCAGCACGATGGCGATGAGGCTCAGGGCCAGGCGCTTGATCTTGACCTTTTCCTGGCGCTCGGTGGACACGCTGTTCTGCACTGCCCGTAGGATGCCACGGTAGGACAGCAGCATGAGAGCCCAGGGGAACAGGAAGCCCACGAAGACACGGTACAGGTTCATCCACGCCACCCAGCCCTCCATGGGGAACTTCTCGAAACAGAAGGTGTGGTTGTAGCGATCGCGGAAGAGTTCATCGTGGAAGAGCGGGGCCGAGTTGGCGCCCAGCTCCGTGGCCCAGACCACGGAGCTGATGGCCACAGCTGTCTTGACCCGGCGCAGACGGGCAAAGCGCAGGGGATGCGCCACCGCCAGGTAACGGTCCACAGAGATGCAACACAGGAAAGCGATGCTGATGTAGATGTTGCTGTAGAAGATGAACCCGAAGAGTTTGCAGGAGCCAGGGCCGTGAATCCAGTTGTCGTGATGGAGGAAGTAGTCGACCCAGAGCGGCAGGGTGCAGATGTACAGCAGGTCGGCCACGCTCAGGTTCATCAGGTACACGCCCAGCTCGTTGCGCTGGCGCACCTGGCGGTAGGCCGCCCACAAGGCCAGGCAGTTGGTGGGCAAGCCCACCCCGATAACGAAGATGTAGAGGGACGGAGGGAACAGGTGGTCCACTCGAGAGTCCACGTGGCAGCCTTCCCACGTGCGGTTGACCATCCTGGGCGCCGGTGTTTGTGAAATGTTTCCCCTGGCCCGCTGGGGCTACAGGGCCACGGGGGGCGGGAGGCCATCGGGCCCCCCTGAACCCCCTCTTTGGAGGCTCAGGGGAGCATCACAGGAGACACAATCCACTGAGACAGATAAGGTCCGGGTGAGTTTTGGGGCAGGCTAGAGCAGGGAAGAGAATTTGAGAGGAGGAGATTCCAGCAGGGATGGAGGAAGGATACCAGGGGGGACTAAGGGGTTTGTAAATGGGGATGTTTGTACAAGCAGTCAGAGCATAAATAAAGATGGGGGCAGAGAAACAATGGGTGACGGTGAGGGCAGTGATTACGGAGGAACTGAAAGCATCAAAGTTGTGAGGACTTAGAAAGTAAGTAGGGCCATGATGAAGTGCCGGTGGAATGGAATGTTCTAGAAGCGTCAGGAAATAGCTTTGGGAAGATGCAGTTTAGAGTGCTGGCATTTATTTAGGACTACAGGAGACAAAGAACTCTGTAAGGTCACCAATAGAGGAGGTGGGGGGGTGATGTGTCTGTCTTAAAAGGGAAGACAAAGAGGAACTGGAAGGCTCCCTAGGGCTGGGGATTGTGGGAAATAATGTTAGGGAACAGGAAGATGAGTAAGCCCTGGAGTACCAGAGGATTGTGGGCAGAAGGAGAAGGTTGAAGGGGGCACAGAGGGGACTCAGGGTTGGTACTGGAGGGGACTGAGGGCTTGAGATGAAGATGCCCCTCTCATTACTATATTGAAAGCTGACGTCACAGGGCCTGTGGGGAGAAAAGAGGGTGGTGAAACAGATATGGACATCCTGACAAGCATCCCTCTTCCGCAACTCCTCCTCTTGCTCCTATGGAAGACAGACATGGACCCTTCAAAGAGTCTGCTTCAGTCCAACTCTAAACAACAGATGCCTCAAAACACAAGATTGAGGGGCTAATAGAGGGGCTTCCCAATGGCTTTTTGAGTCAGACACTCCCTGAAGCCCCAGATAGCCTGGAACTCCTATGTAGACCAGGCTAACCTCAATCTTACACAGATCCACCTGTCACTGCCTCCTGAGTGCTGGGATTAAAAATGTGAGCCACCCTTGTTGACAGTTGTGCTCATTCATTAAAGGAGGGCCATGCAGGGTCATTGGACCCTCATTGCATTATCCAGCCACTCTTCCCAGCCAACTGTATGTAATTGGACCCTAATCACACATGTCCTCCTGGATTTGGGGAGGGCTAAAGTATACAATCTGGGGAAGGCTAGGAAGAGAAGGCATGAGCCATGCCGGGTGAAGGCTTTCCAGTGTACATACCCTCAGGTCATACATACACCTCAGCAACCCCTCAGTTATCTCAGTAAGTAAGCTCAATAAATTCATCGGTTCCCCAGTAAAACTTAATCAAACATTGGCTTGACACTAGAACCTTAAAAGGGAATAAGCATTGCTTAGCATCCACAGGAAAAGAAGTCTCACAACAGATGGAAAATGTATTTGTTAATGCTATTATGTCTCATAATATTTTTTTTTGGTCTTTTTGAGACAGGGTCTTTCTGTAACCCCAGCTGTCCTGGAATTCACTTTGTAGACCAGACTGGCCTTGAACTCACAGAGATCCACCTGCCTCTGCTTCCCGAGTGCTGGGACTACAGGCATGCGCCACTACACCCGCCTTCATAATTATTTTTAAAAAAGAAAGAAAATGAAAATGTAAAAGATGTTAAAAGGATATGGGAATGGAGATATTTTCCAAAATAGAAAAAAGGAGAAAGCCTAAGCAAGTGATAAAGGTCTATGTAGGTTTGTTATGATATATAAAGGATGAGACAAAAATAATATACATATAATCTTAAAATGTCTATAGTCAAGCTGGGCGTGGTGGCACACGCCTTTAATCCCAGCACTCGGGAGGCAAGAGGCAGGCAGATCTCTGTGAGTTCAAAGCCAGCCTGGTCTACATAGTGAGTTCCAGGACAGCTGGGGCTACAGGGAGACCCTGTCCCAAAAAGACCCCCCCCCCCAAAAAAAACCAACCAAACAAAAAATGTCTATAGTCATAGTTTAGTCAACTAGTTTAAGGAACAAAATATATATCTAGTCAAAGTTTATCTGAGAATATTTGTTTTTTTACCCAAGCCTTATCTACATAGCACATGATAATTAAAAGTACCAGACTGGTGGAATTAACCTTACTGGATGTTTAACAGCCATAGTTTGAGGCCTATACTAATGTGGTCAGAGGGACTTAAAGGACAGTTTTTGCCCCTTGCCCTCCAAGGCTGACTAAGTTCAATGGGACTATGGAACAGCTCTCAAATGTCCTGTAACTGCAGTGAGTCACCTGTCCTCTTGGTCAGGAAAGAATGGAGACCTCACAAGATGGACTTGAACCAGTGTCCAGTCTACAAATAGGAGGGTCAACTCAGAGGAAACATCTCATTCATGCTTCCAAGTGAAGCCAGACATGGTTGACCTTTGACTTATCTTCACATAGATGGAACTGGTAAAAGAAAGGAGCCAGGAGCTCCTCCCAAGCCCATGTGGCCCCTGAGGAACAAATCCTCAAATAACCTGAAGTGTAAAAATAAATTGATTTATTTGGGCCAACTCTATGGTCTTAAACACCCAAAAGGAAAGTACAACCAAAGGGTAAAGCCATCAATATTTTTATTTAAGACTTCAAGGGATTACACTTCCCATACATTAGGCTTAAGTCTATATAAAACGTTATTTAGACTATTTCTCATTGATGACTTTGTTCCTAACTGGAAAGTGCTGCTTAGATGTAAGACTTCAAATCTTGGTCTCCAATACTGTAGTGCCCACCTGTAGCTAAGGGAGATAACCAGTTACTGTTCTGAAATGATGAATAAATTTATTTTCTCCCCCTATCTAAAGGCTTTTGAGAGGAAACTGACACTGATTCTAACCACTCCAAAAGCTATTAAAATACCTGAAAGCAAATCCTGAATCCATCACTCTAGAGTCCAGCTTTGGAAGACAAAAGCAAAATGAGGAGGAACCCAATAGAGGGATGCTTTTGGAAACCCTTGTCAAGAAATTCTAATGGACTCTCATGTGAACATTTGAAAATTGTCCTGTTCTGACTTTTTTCTAGTTCCCTGTCTAGAACTTGTAATGCTAATTACTCTTGCCTTTACTTCTCTTTCGGTGTGATAAGAACAGGAGACAGGAATTGCCTACGCAGTTAGGGTAAAAAGACCCCAAAGAAAAGTAGCCAGTTTGGCTAAAACTCACAGTGTCCTTGGGCCTCTTAGCAACATACTCTGTTCCAAAGGCCAAAAATGTTGAAAGTTTTTGGGAGCTTGTATCTAATCCTTAAAAGATTTTAGGGTTACCTCTTTAGAGGGGGGAATGTTAGCATAGCCAAAAGCCCCATAAAAATAGATCAATCAGTCAAAGAAAAGAAAGAGTACATGAAGTTATCAGAAAAAAAGTGATGGGGAGATATGGGAGGAGTTGGAGGGGAGGGAGTGGGCATGGATTTGATCAAAACACCTTATATGCATGTATGAAATTCTCAATAAATTATTTATTGTTTTAAAAAAGTGGGGCTGGAGAGATGGCTCAGTGGTTAAGAACACTGGTTGTTC